GGGGGAAACACGGATTCAGTTTCATCAGTTTTCTTCATTATTTATGTTTCCGGAGCTACAGGTACTGGTAATTCGTCATTGTGTGACATAGATCGCATGGCAGAAGAACTATGTGGATAATCGATCTGGACAGACCAGGTATCTTTATCATGATGGTGTAGCAATCATTAAAATAGTTTGTTAGTATTTTCTACAAAAATTGGTAACAGCGAATCACAATGATTTGAGTTTTCCATACAACCACAACCTAATTCGATCGTAGTACAGGTGACACTGGTAAGCAGCCCATGGTTTGCCCTGATCACAAACACGATAGCCAAACTTTAAAGAATAGGCAAGTTTTGTAATTTCATGTATTTGTCCTTTGAAGTTTGGGTGTAAATCTTCCAGAAAAGTAAGGAAAGTTGTCGGGTTGATACGCACACTTTCAATATGAAATGGCGATTTGCATGTTATCGAACCGATTCTATTCTAAAGCATGTGGAAATTTTTCACTTTATAAAAACCACAGAACTGTGATGTATGAATGGATTCGAGGCACACGCAAACCAGACACGAACTTAATGCGCACTGTGGGTCTAGTTCTACACGACTCCGGATAACTCAGAATCTGCCACCCCAACAGTTGGATGATTGTATGCTTGCGATAAGGTAAGGGGGCTAAAACGATACCTTACGGTGATTGATGCGCAGTGGCAAACATGAGGGTGCACGTGGCTTGTTTTCAAAACATCCACTAAGACCTACTCGTAATGGAGCGTGACTACCAGACGCGAGAATAAAGACGGCAATCTTCGGATACGGGAGGTAAAAAAACAAACCAAAAGCCTAATTCTCATCAATGTGGCATAAATGATCTGAAAAAATATTCGATTTTTAAATAGATTTTGTGCGTAATGATTTTACATATGTTACAGGTGCAATATAAAGGTATTTGCATTAATAGCAAAATACGGTATAATGATACGGTTTAATTAAAACAGACGTGATATTCGTAATTACGTATAAAATTGAGTACCTAGCGCACTCTACCTTCCTAAAGGTAAAAATCCAGTTCCCTAGTGATATTAAAAAAAAAACTTTTTTAATTTAGAAGTTTAATAAATAGCGCCTCTAATTATCACTAAAAACACACTTTCTCTCAAGCATTTTTTATTAAATTGTATTCAACTGCTCGCAATCATTTTAAATACTTACTTAACACTTCTAAACATGCGATCGAAATTGAATGACGCAAGCGAACGTCTTTTAGAGTTCTGTGAGTAATATAGTTTTTCAAATTATTGTTCCCCATGTTCTCATGGCAGGAAGACTTCCACGATTCCTTCATGAAGGACACGGAGAGGGATTATAGCCAAAATCTGTAGCTGATTTGCCTTTGCTTATAGTTTTATTACATTGGAGCGACTTTTTCTTATCAATTCTGGCCAAAAATGCTCATTTCATCTGTATTCAGAATCCAACTTGTATGTGTTAGGGTAGGGATCCCAGAATTTCAGAAAACGTGCACAGAATAGACTTTCCCACATAGCACGTCGTGTACACTTTTAACTGTTATTGACGTTAAATAAATAAATAAATAAAATGAACAAATCATTCTCACGAATCTTTTTAAACAGTTCATCGTGAAATTCAACATCACGAGTTGAAAATATTCGAATATGCCATCAGCAAATATCGAACTTGATTTTGTACAAACGCGGGACAAGCATTTTACACTTAACATTTTTGCTCTCCGAAATGATTTGCCAGGACACGGGGAACAGTTTAAATCCGGGATTGTCCCAGAAAATCTGAGACGCCAGATAAAAGGGAAAAAAAATCTTTACGTTCTTGAAATTTCAGAACTTGAAATAAAAATGGCTTTCTTCTATGGAATGTAATATATTGTAATCCATTCTTACAAAAATTTGAAAGGGAAAAACAACACATTTTTACTGTTGCTGGGATTTGAATCCGGTGTCTCCGGGTGGCAGAAATGTGCTCTACCAGCGGAGGTAATTTTCCACTGTACAAGAGACAATCGTTTACTGCACTGCAAATTTACACCGTTGTCCAGTGATACATCTCGAAATTTCGCGAAAACTAATATTTTCAAAAACGTTTACAGGAAATGATTTGAAGAATTATATACTTTGCATTATGCAATATTATATTACTAATATTGAGACTTTTTACTCTTGATTGAACATTGAGTCGAATGCCAATGCCAATCCGGTACCTACCTGGAGAACACCAATGAAGGGGAGGGGGACTACGCTCTCGCGAAATAAATTGCAAAATAATTTAAGGAAAATTTTATGTATAAGAACTAATGCTAATATATATATATATATAGAGATAAATGTATTACAATAGTTTTCTGCAAGTTTGTATTAAGTTATTTATGCCCTCACAAGTCCTCTAAATTAGTGTAAGGACGAGGCCGGAGCAAGGGTTGTTGGTACAGGGTCTTGATACCGTTTTTAAGTAACACTCGCCGTACGTGGAAGGACCAAAAGGACAAAGCGGGGAAAGGACGGAGGGCCAGGGAACAAAAGTGTAAGAAACGGAAAAGGGGGACAAATTAGACACTTGAGACAAAATGAGCAAGGGACAAACGGAAAAGGGTGTCAAATCGAACAAGGTGGGACAAAATGGACATATTTGTCCAAATATTTACGAGCACTGGTAAAATCTAAACCCGAAAGTTCGTTTTTTTTTGTATTCCAACATTATAAAAGAACCTTTTATGTTGCAAGAAATCGTTCATAATCGGGCATTTTACGGCACATATGATAACGTATTAGATTTTATGTCACGAATGATTGAGTCATCACACATTCAGCCAATCGGAGGGAGGTAGAGCTAAACGGAACAGCCAACCACCGTTTACTCGCACGATGGCAAATACCCGAGTGTTCACAGGGAAATTGTTTCGCAAAATTAAGTTTGACTCTCTTATAAATGTATAATGCTGTTATCCAAAAATATATAGTATGCAACTCTCTTATAATGTTGCTTTATTACATTCGTACAAATTTGAAAACTTGCTCCTAAAGTCGCTCGTTTTTAAAACATGTACTCATTAAATAAAGCTTAACATTATAAACTAATTGCATGAACTATTATTAATGGAATCAAAGATTTTAACGGCTGGAGCTAAGCGCGTGTTTAGACGTAAATAAAAAAACATAACATTTTGAGGTGTAGGAAAGGCGTGTATATTTTGAACATTTTTTGTACTCCCGATGCTCTCTGCACTGCCACCGATGACAATCTTTTTTGATTTGTTCAACTTTTAAAAGGTTTACCATTGCACAACTGTCATCTACACTTACAGATAATAAAATATTACGTGTCTATTGGCACGCCTGGCTGTAAGAGAACCCCAGAGTCTCCACGAAGCGATGATGCTTGGCAACAGTTTCAAACTTTTTAGTTTCTCTCTTCTCGCCGTCGTTATATATTAGAGAATATTCTAATAGTGTGCCGTTAAACGGCGTTTTGTCGACAGAAAAACTCTTCTTGCCGGGCCCTGGTAACGGAAAATCATCTTCCTTAGTAGTAACTTACTTTCTCCAACACGCTTCTTTAAATTTTTGCTCGAATTTTAATTTTGATATTCATTTGCTAAAGAGGATTTCAAGAGACTACTGAAGAATGAGTAGAAAACAAGTTCTAATCCTCTAAATAACAAGAGTATACCACGGAAATAAAACTGTTTTGTGCCTTACAAGAAATCGCTAGAAAGTTTTTTAAGTGAACTAGTGCTGAAAAGGTATCTCCCAGACCTAGGTCTGCGTCATGAGATTGATGATGAAAATTAGTTATGCTACAACAGCACATTGTTTCTCGTATCATTTGAAACTGATACGTAATATATTATTGCACCTTTAATCCTTCAGGTACTGTAGCCATCTCCTGAAGCATACTCTTGAGCAAAAGTGAATTCGAATTTTGCCGTGTTTGAAAGTCCGGAAGTTTTAATGAAAATTCTATTATTACCATACTTGTATACGATTTTTACCTCAGGAAAATAATTTAAAAAAATTAAATTTCCAATGGATATTGTGGAAATTGGAGTAATTTCCAGGGAGTCACTGTGGGGAATCTAGAATGAACACAGCTCGGCTACCGTACTTATTGAGGTCTTCAAAATAATATTTAAGTCATTGAGGGAACTAAGAAATATATCATGATTAAAAAAAACACACAGTTTCGAAAACCAGTTTTTAAAACTACATTTGATGTAATATTGAACCAATTGAACGAAGAAGGAAATATGTAACTTCATTATTGAAAGTTTGATATGTTGAAAATGAAACAAATTAGCACATTTGCTATTTTCAAATTTTTAAAGGTCTTAATGAAATTTAACTATTATGTAGGAAATTCGATAGAAAAGAAAAATGCTTTTAAAAAAATGTTTTTCATTTTCCTTTGAAATCATTTCACCAAAAATTACGTTAAAGCTCTTAATTATAAAAATGTATTTGACAGTTTAAATATCTAGTTTTCTTAATCGTTCCTGAGCTGCTTTTATACACTTAAGGTTTCTGCGCTATTCGAACAGAAAATAAAATTGCGTTGTGTGAAGTTTCCAAGATTAAAAGATCCCTTAAAAAAATCATATAACTTGTAGAGGGGCCAGATTAATCTAGGAATATCCAGTTGGGAAAATGTCCTGTGTTCTAAACAGAACGGCAAGGAGACGTTTTAAAAAAAACCTTTCCGGTACCACAGACGCCCAAAACTAGTAATTGCGGCAAAATCTTGAGATTGGTTTTCTTCCAGCATAGCAATACTTCCTCGAGACTATTTATACGAAAAAATAAAAATAGTTCGCAGATTGTCCTCTGAGACATTCTACAAAGTGTAATGAATAAAATGTTGAGTCATTTTTGTGAAAATTCGTAGGAGAGTATCAATGTGTCATCAAATTCTGTGAGATGAATAATTCTTTTCGGTTTTCTGGTCTTTGGTTCTGATTTCACAAGTATTTTTTATTTTTGTTTCAGAGGAAGACATGTCATCAGAGCTAAATGTGCAAGCACTTACAGAAGAACTAGTCCCCGACGTAGGCTCAGAGGAAATAGCCCAACAAAGCACAGTAGACCAGGTATTTATATTTCCTTGTACCTATCGTGGCTCCACCGAATCGGCTCCATATGTGCGAATGATAACAGTCGTACGATAACGAGGTCGAGTTTACTCACACTTCATACATAGAATCGACGGTATCATCAATAGTTAAAGGCATCTATCTATCGACTATCTAAGGCTCTAGGATTCAGTAGCAGCAAGTGTGGGAAATTTCTCTACTATTTGGTAAACATTTGAGGGGTAGTCAGATCCCCAAACTTGATCTCATATACTTAACATTAAGTGGAGTAACTAGAAAAATAATTAAAATGGTGTTTATTAATTTACTCTTGCAGTGGAATTATTTTAAAAGAATTACAAAAAGGTAACATTATAGCACTGAATGATCACGGAATATAGATAGTCGTATTCGTCCTAAATCTAAAATCCCTTATCTGGGATTTACATTTAATATTTTTAAAAATTCACTGATTTAATCGATTGTTCTTTCTCGCAGTTACTAACGTACGAGGGAAAGTATAGTAATCGTGCGCCGTAAAACGGCGAGTACTTATATTGCCGAGACCTGATAACAAAAAAGTGGATAAATCAGTTTTTAACTATTGTAACAAAATCGTCTAACGGTAGTGTAGCCACAATCCGTTTTGTGCGTCCTTCATACCAAACAATTGATTGACGGCAAAACCGTCCGCCCGTCCGCAACACTAGCGCACGAACCGTTCATTTTCTCCAAAATTGATATTCCCCCATAGTTTTAACTGGTTTTGCGGCCCCCAGAAATTGGAAGCGGTATTTTAATTTTGGGGAACTTAATATGAAGCCCCCGGACATTCATAATTTTCAAAAAACTGGCGCCAAATTTTTTGATTAAATTTTGTCGAATAATGCAAAAGACGTTTAAGAGAATGGTGCAGGTTTTATTTTAATTTATATTTTGTGTTAATCTCCCTTATTTTTCAAAAATTGCAAAAAAGTCTTAAAACTGCAAAATTGAAGATTGACTTTTGCCGTAGGCAAAGTAGTGTGTTGTACACAATTAGCTCTTTAAAAAAGTCATGTACATTTTTTGAATAAATGGTTAATTTTTGCATAATATGCGCTTGAAATCGCAATTTTTTCACAAAAATTGCCCCACATTTTTTCTTTAAATTTTCTCCGCGTCTATAATAAGGGACAGTAAAAATATGGCTATATGAATGTTGGTCTCATTTTTTTATTTCTTTTATTTTTATAATTCCAAAAAAAAATTAAATTCACAAAATTGAAGATAAAGATTTGTGCCTGACAGTCTTGTACAAAACTAGCCCTTTCAAAAGATCAGGTACATTTTTTCTAAAAGTTAGTAGTTTTCGCGTAATTTCTGTTCGAAATTAATGAAGCATGTATGGGCGTTCCGTCGTACATAACGATAACATTGTAATACTGCGAGAAAGTATGTGCAATTTTAGCTTCACTAGTTAATATTTAATGGTACTTCAAATAATATTTACCACAGGCAACAAATTCTACACAGAATCCCTGAGTAGCCTATTCGATTTCTTCTCTCAGATAATGTAATGTCAGCCGTTGTAGGTAAGTAAAGTAAGGTTCCTGCGACGCCTATCAGCGCCACTGTCGGTTAGACAGATTTCGCGATATCTAAAGACAGATCTCGTGGTATTGAATAGCCCAAACCAAAAGTTTGCAAGCTGAGTTCACGTGAACGGAAGGAACTTGTGTAGCTACATATGGAATGGCACACAATTCCTTGTAATATATCTCTAATTTCTTCAGTCTGGTCTAACTTGAGTTTTCGAAACAATTAATTAGAAGTCATTCGAGGCACTGTATCTCAAATAATTACAAATTGCTGGAAGTGTGCATATTAATGACGTGTGTGAATTTTTTGAGGAAAAACAAAAGAATACAGCAAAATAAACTTTGTCATTTTTAACAGCGCAATTAGCACTATCCGTTGCAAAAGTTTGAAGAAAAAAATTGCAGCGTTTTTCGAGGAAAGGGCGTTTCTGGAAATGCGAAATTTTATGCTCATTTTAATAGAAAATTGTTGATCTTTTTATTATTTACATTTATTACATTATTTAAAGTACTTGTACTCATAAATACAATAATGTGAACCAATTCCCGCCAGTATAAATATTAACGACGTGAGAGAAGTAAAAACGATAAGTTTTGTAATTTAAAAAAACGACAAAAGAATAGAACAATAAGGCGTTTGCCTTATAGAGTGCATTTTTACTGTCTCTACCAAAAGTGTAAAGAAAAAAAATTGGAGCCTGTTTTGAAAAAATTGTTTTTGTAATTTTTTTAAAATTGTAAATATTGCGCGAAAACTACTAAAAGTTTCAAAAAATGTGCACGTCCTTAATGAAAGAACGCGCTATGGAGAACAAATTTTATTTGAAGCAAAAATCTTTTTCTTCAATTTTGCAGTTGTAGGAAGGCGCCAAAAAAAATTGAAATTTTCGAAAATTCGGAGTTAACCCTGAAAACCGGACCTATGTCACCTAAATAAGTGTATTTAACCCTATTTTTGCAAGAAATTTAAACAGTAAATTTGGAGCCGATTTTGAGAAAATTTTGAAAATGTCCGGGGGCTACACGTAAAGTACTGATAAATATTGAAGAAAGTTTTTCAAAATCGCAGATCCTAGAGTCGTGCCAGTTCGACCATATTGTGGAATATCCATATTGGAAAAAATCGTACGTATGGCTACTAGTTTTTATCAAAACGTCCGTCTGAACACAACACTTTTTCGGTATCAGAGGACCCCAAAACGAGTATTTCGTTGAAATCTCAAAATCGATTTTTCGCAGCATAACATAACTTTACGTATACTACGTATATATTACTCTGTATATACGTATGTATACGGGAAAGTAAAAAGCTTATTTTACTTCAATAACTTATACAACTTGAGTTGTTCATCTGAACTGGTTTTGATCATATTTTTACATAATTTTTCTTTGTTTTTGGGGCGTTTAAAAAAACATTTTAAGAGCATTTTATTGATAATTTTTGGCGATGTTTTAGGTCATCGAAATCCGCCCCGTAGTTATAAATATGTATACAAATATTTCTCTTCAAAATTTTCCAATTGGAAGGGTTTGCTTTCGAAAATCTTTAGTACAAAAACATGTTTCTTTTAGAAAGAAGGAAAGAGCCGACCTGGATAGCCGAGGTCGCTAAGGCTTGGGTGCTTGGGGGCTAAGGGTGCTTTGGTTGCCTCGTGCCTGAAGGGGCGCGGGTTTGAATTCCGCCCGGGGCATGGATGTTGGTGTGTGTCCGTTAACCGTTACCCCCAAAATTACTGACAGTGGTCGCTATATGACGTTAGAAGTTAAAAAGCGACCCTTAATAAGTTAATTTTAAAAAAGTAAAGGAAAAATACCCTTTCTGCATTGTTAATTCTTTTAAGTACGAAATTCATCAAGCGTTTTGTTAAGGTGTTGTGTAAGATTTAAAACAACTGAAGTCTACAATAGTAGTTCTAAGTTTAGATATTAGGTAATCTACTCAGTGCAGATTCCAAGTACTTTTCTACCTTTTGAAAGTCCCTCATCTTAGCAGTATTGACTGCTGATTAATGCAGCTCCTTGAATTCCAAGGGAAAATGCATCTTTTTTGTTTTAGTGTAGCATGTATACCACAATCAGATATGCATATCTTGTTTTAATGCGGGTTTCCTTTGCAAAAATTTCAACCATTTAGACAGCTTCCAGCCTTATATGGGCGAGCCCATTTTAAGAAATAAAACTCGGATATTCTGAGAAAGTCATTTAAAAAAGTCCTTCACATATTAATTCCACTGAAAGGCGTAGGATTGTGTCGCACTTCGTAAGAAGAGAAAGTATCCCCCTATTGATCTGACCGAAATCGAGGATATGGAAGTTTCAAACGGAAATTTTGATTTTTGAGGGTACTTTATATGAAGCGTCAAAAAAATTTCAAACTTTTCTCAAATGGCACCGAATTGTTTGATTAAACTTTCTTATTGGACTGCGTGAAGGGCGCTTAAAATATTGGTGTAGGTCTCATGATCTACGAAATACCAGATTTTTCGAAAATTGCATAAGTGCAATTTATTTCGGCGTCTGACTACAACTACAATATTGGAGATAGATTTTTCCGTAATAAAATATTTTCTTTAAAGATATCTTGAAATAAGATCATATCCAATTTTTCGAAAATATGAGTAGCATTCATGTAATTTGGCGCGGAACATAGGACATTTTTATTTTTTAAACAATTTCTTCGTAAAAACTGATCCACATTTTTTCTTTAAATTTTTGAAATTTAAAGAAAAATTCTCGAATATATTAAGGCACGATAAAAAAATATCATGCTTGTCCCTTTTTCGGCAAACTCTCCGTATTTTCAAAAACTGAAAAAGTTATTTCAAAACAAAAAAAATGGAAGATGTAGATTTTTGCGGTAGATAAAGTCTATTGCAAAAAAGCAGCTCTTATAAAAAAGTCCATCATTTTTTATTAAATTGTGTTGTTGGATAGTGTCGCGTTCGTTAAAATCCCTGATTTTTCAAAAGTTGCAAAAGTTACAAATAATGCTAGAAAGTATGCGCATTTGAAGCGCCACTAGTTGAAATACCACTCGCTCGATTTAGCTGTATTCTTGCGACGCGGGTGTAATGTTGGGCACGTGCCGCGCGATGAACAGCCGATACCCCTCTACTGGAACGGCACCCTCAGTGCCGATGCGCGCTCCGCTCAGAATTGCCTTTTTTCTCGCGACTAATGTCTTGTCCCTTCCTGACATCGAGCGTACATAGATCTGAAGTAATGCGCCTTTTAAGTCTTTTGTCTCTCGTCTTGTAACTTCGCAGTCAGTCAATGCCTTTAATCCCTTCGGCCTGGGGCTCGGCACCGTTGATAACCGGGGTTCCCAGACGTCACCGCCCAAGAATCAGTGTCTCGAGTTCCTTAACTTCCGTGACTTCACGGAGCATACGAGGGTAGCAATTCGGATAAAGTCGCCGGCCTTGGAAATACAACCTG